ACCAGGTGGTATGTCCATTGCTGTGAGGAGCATATTAGAAGTGCCCTGCAGTTGTTGTATTACTGTCAATTCTCCCTTTATGTTTTTTAATATTTTCCTTATGTATTTAGGCATACATATGTTAGGTTAATATTTGTTTAATAATTCTTTTTGGATTGACACTTTTAGTATTATGTGATATTTTATTTTGTCAAGTCTATATTGTCTGATGTGAGTATTGCTCTTTTTGTTTGCATTTGCATGGAACACCTTTTCCACCTCTCACTTCTGTCTGTGCCTGTCTTTAGCATTGAAGTAAATATCTTCTAAGCAGTATATGGATGGATCTTGTTATTTTTATTCATTTAAGCACCTGTATCCTTTGATTACAGCACTTTGGCATTTTGTTCATTATTTTTTGGATGTACTTGTAGTTCCCCCTTTTAATTTTCTTCTTTTAGTCTCTTTTCCTGTGGTTTGATGATTTTCTTTAGTGATATGGTTGGGTTCCTTTCTCTATTTTGTGTGTTTATCTTCAACATCACAATAATCCAAGTCTATGCCCTGACCAGTAATGCTTAAGAAACTGAAGTTGAACAGTTTTATGAAGACCTACAAGACCTTCTAGAACTAGCATCCAAAAAAGATGTCCTTTTCAATATGGGGGACTGGAATGCAAAAGTAGGAAGTCAAGAAACACCTGGAGTAACAGGCAAATTTGGCCTTGGAGTACAGAATGAAGCAGGGCAAAGGCTAATAGAGTTTTGCCAAGAGAATGCACAGGTCATAGCAAATGCCCTCTTCCAACAACACAAGAGAAGACTCTACACATGGACATCACCAGATGGTCAATACCAAAATCAGATTGATTATATTATTTATAGCCAAAGATGGAGAAGCTCTATACAGTCAGCAAAAACAATACTGGGAGCTGACTGTGGCTCAGATCATGAACTCCTTATTGCCAAATTCAGACTTAAATTGAAGAATGTAGGGAAAATCACTAGACCATTCAGGTTTGATCTAAATCAAATCCCTTATAATTATACAGTGGAAGTGACAAATAGATTCAAGGGACTAGATCTAAGAGAGTACTTGAAGAACTATGGACGGAGGTTCATGGCATTGTACAGGAAACAGGGATCAAGACCATCCCCAAGAAAAAGAAATGCAAAAAAGAAAAATGACTGTCTGAGGAGGACTTACAAATAGCTGTGAAAAGTAGAGAAGTGAAAAGCAAAGGAGAAAAGGAAAGATATACCCATTTGAATGCCAAAGAGTTCCAATAAATAGCCAGGAGAGATAAGAAGGCCTTCCTCAGTGATCAGTGCAAAGAGATAGAGGAAAAACAATAGAATGGGAAAGACTAGAGATCTCTTCAAGAAACTTAGAGATACCAAGGGAACATTTCATGCAAAAATGGGCAGAATAAAGGATAGAAATGGTATGGACCTAACAGAAGCAGAAGATATAAAGAAGAGGTGGCAAAAATACACAGAAGAACTATACAAAAAAGATCTTCACAACCCAAATAATCATGATAGTATGATTACTCACCTAGAGCCAGACATCCTGGAATGCAAAGTCAAGTGGACCTTAGAAAGCATTACTACAAACAAAGCTAGTGGAGGTGATAGAATTCCAGTTGAGCTCTTTCAAATCTTAAACGATGATGCTGTGAAAGTGCTGTACTCAATATGCCAGCAAATTTGGAAAACTCAGCAGTAACCAAAGGACTGGAAAAGTTCAGTTTTCATTCCAATCCCTAAGAAAGGCAATGCCAAAGAATGCTCAAACTACCACACAATTGCATTCATCTCACATGCTAGCAGAGTAATGTTCAAAATTCTTCAAGCCAGGCTTCAATGATATGTGAACTGTGAACTTCCAGATGTTCAAGCTGGATTTAGAAAAGGCAAAGGAATCTGAAATCAAATTGCCAACATATGTTGGATCATCAGAAAAGCAAGACAGTTCCAGAAAAACATATATTTCTTCTTTATTGACTATGCCAAAGCCTTTGGCTGTGTGGATCATAGCAAACTGTGGAAAATTATTCAAGAGATAGGAATACCAGACCACCTGACCTCCCTCTTGAGAAATTTGTATGCAGGTCAGGAAGCAACAGTTAGGACTGGACATGGAACAACAGACAGTTTCCAAATAGGAAAAGGAATATGTCAAGGCTGTATATTGTTACCCTGCTTATTTAATTTATGTGTAGAGTGCATCATGCAAAATACTGGGTTGGATGAAGCACAAGCTGGAATCAAGACTGCTGGGAGAAATATCAATAACCTCAGATATGCAGATGACATCATCTTTATGGCAGAAAGTGACGAAGAACTAAAGAGCCTCTTGATGAAAGTGAAAGAGGAGAGTGAAAAAATTGGCTTAAAACTCAACATTCAGAAAACTAAGATCATGGCATCTGGTCCCATCACTTCATGGCAAATAGATGGGGAAACAGTGGAAACAGTGAGAGACTTTATTTTGGGGGGCTCCAAAATCACTGCAGATGGTGACACTGCAGCCATGAAATTAAAAGACGCTTACTCCTTGGAAGGAAAGTTATGACCAACATAGATAGCACATTAAAAAGCAGAGACATTACTTTGCCAACAAAGGTCCATCTGGTCAAGGCTATGGTTTTTCCAGTGGTCATGTATGGATGTGAGAGTTGGACTATAAAGAAAGCTGAGCACCAAAGAACTGATGCTTTTGAACTGTGATGTTGGAGAAGACTCTTGAGAGTCCCTTAGACTGCAAGGAGATCCAACCAGTCTATCCTAAAGAAAATTAGTCCTAAATATTCATTTGAAGGACTGATGCTGAAGCTGAAACTCCAATATTTGGGCCACCTGATGTGAAGAAGTGACTCATTTGAAAAGACCCTAATGCTGGGAAAGATTGAGGGCAGGAAGAGAAGGGGATGACAGAGGAGGAGATGGTTGGATGGCATCACCGACTCAATGGACATGAGTTTGAGTAAACTCTAGGGTTTGGTGATGAACAGGGAGGCCTGGCATGCTGCAGTCCATGGAGTCACAGAGACGGACATGACTGAGCAACTGAGCTGAACTAATCCATTTCAGTTTTTTGCTTACCATGAGGTTTGTATGTGTGTGTATGTACATATATTTGTGTATATTACATATAATATTTGTTTTACATTTTCAATTTCTTTGTTGAAATTCTCATTGTGTTCCTCTAGCCCTCTCCTGAGTTTGATGAGATTTTTTAGAAATGTTACTTCAAACATTCTAATAAATTACTTGTCTCCACTTTATCAGAGATTTTTTGTTGTTGTTCTGGGATTTTATCTTGTGCTTTCATTTGGAATATATTTCTCTGTCTTCTCATTTTGTTTGGCTTTTTTTTTGTTTGTTTCTATAATTTAGGTGAAATAATTGCCTCTCCTGCTCTTGAAGGTAAGGTCTTGTCTGGGAGTATCCCTATGCTGACCATGTGTGCCCAGTGGCTTTGGCAGGAGGACTGGAGCCAAACCAAGCATGAGCAAGGGCTTTTTTCAGGATTTTCTGAAGTTTTTGCATTGGCAGGGTGGGCTGGAGCCTGGTAAGGCAAGGACTTGTTCTAAGTTACATGTGCATTTTGATGTATGGGAGGATTTGTTTCTTTCATTCTAAACTGTCAGCTCTTTTAGGGAGAATTCAATTTCTAATCTTTTGTCTCCTACAACATCTACTACATTATCTTTGCACATATTGAAACAATATAATTATGGTTTAAATAAATGAGGTGATACATAACTGCTTTAATGCTCATTCATGAAAAAATTTTTTTAATTTACACTTTAAGAGAACTTTTGAATAATTTATTCTAAGTTCTTCATATTACATATAAGAGAATCAAGTTCTATAAAGGTCTGTCACTGTTATTAAGATCTCAGCAATGAAGAAGGGAATATTAGGACATGAACCAAAGTCTCTTGATTCAGAGGCAATGCTTTTATGTATTTTTAACTATATACTACTGTGCCTTTTTGAATGTATAAGGTATCTTGTGAATTTTTTTTTATGCTTTACATGATAATGTGTCCAATTAATTAGTTAATTTTCAGTTATAATATCATAAGTTATATGAAGATCTTTATTAGATAAGTAAGTCCTGGGTGTTCACTGGAAGGGCTGATGCTGAAGCTGAAACTCCAATACTTTGGCCACCTCATGCGAAGAGTTGACTCATTGGAAAAGACCCTGATGCTGGGAGGGGTTGGGGGCAGGAGGAGAAGGGGATGACAGAGGATGAGATGGCTGGATGGCATCACCGACTCGATGGACATGAGTTTGAGTAAACTCCGGGAGTTGGTGATGGACAGGGAGGCCTGGCCTGCTGCAATTCATGGGGTTGCAAAGAGTTGGACACGACTGAGTGACTGAACTGAATATTAAAAAATAAAATTTTCAGTTCTATAAGTAATTTTTTTAAAAGAAACCATGAATAACTCCCTTGAATTCAAACTAGAATGAAGAAGAAGATATACAACTATTACAAAATGAAATCTCATATAAGCATATTTATTGCTTTTTCTAAGAAAGATTTTAAGAAGAAAACTACCCTTAGAACTCACATAGAACTAGACCACATGTTCAATAGTTAATTACTTTATTAAGAAACTTAGTACAGGTATGTGATTAGTCATTGATATGAATATAAACCATAAATAATATCTACTTTGGTTAAATAGTTTTATTTATACAAGCAGGCTAGTTTATTAATGCCGTTCTCTGATTTTTCATATATATGTTTTATGCATGTATTTTACATTTGCATATGTGCAAACTGTATAAATGTGTATAACATTAATTTATTATGATTGCCATTTCATATAGATGATTTGATTCTCTCTACTTTAAAAATTAGCAAACTTTGTATGTCTTAAAGGTTAATACTGTGGTGTAAGAAAGAATATGTCATTGCTTTAAACTCTGGCAAAAATTACATTCTCAGAAAGGCTGGAGCATAGTTTCTAACTGTCTTTAATATTTTCTATTTAAAAGGTAAATAAGATTTGTGGCCGTCCAGTCAGAACACCCACACAAAGCCCCCGTTGTTCTTTTGATGGAAGCAAAGAGAAGCATGGAATGAAGATCTCTATAAGAAACGGTGAAGAGACACTTGCCAACAGAAGAAAGTAAGACATTTGTTTTACAACCAGAAAGAAAGTAAGCCATTAATTTTACAACAGAATGGAATGTTTTCAATTAAGTGGAACAAAATACACTAATGAAGAAACAAAAGATCAACATTAATTACCTTTAAAATTCCATGCTTCCTCCTATTCTGTTAACTAGGAAGACAGGTTCAACTCAGAAGACCAAAATCCCTAAGATGAGGGATATTTTTTTATAACACAATATGGCCTGCCTCACACACATATGATCATGTACACTGCAAATGTGGCCAGTGTACAGTGTGGTACGGCAGTCTGTAACACTGAGTCATCTTGCTTAAGTGAAACTATGCCCATTGAATAGTAGCTCCCTATTTCCCCCTCCTTGTGGTAAACAATACTGAGTTATATAGTTCAGAATTTATAAAGAGGGTAGATCTCATGGTAGGTAAGTGATCTTACCACTAAATAAATAAATAAATAAATAAATAAATAAATAAATAAATAAATAAATAAATAAATAAATGTGGCTAGTGCAGCAGTAGCACCAGTGTGACTGAGGATTGAATTTTTAATGTTACATAATTTCAATTAATTTTAGTTAAAGTTTTACATGTAGCTAATGACTACTATATTGGACAGAATGCAAGACAAAGAGTGTTCATATAAAGATGTGATAACTGTTACTGAATATTAGGTATCTGTTAAAAGAAAATAATGTCAATACCTTTTATCTTGAATGCTGAAAATTGCTATCTGTTGACTCAAAATTATAAGCATTGATTTAGTGGCTTGCTTCTGTAACTCACATTTCTATACTGTGCCCATCATTATTTCACTTGTTAAAGCCTTCATTAGTATCCGTTTGGTTAATTGGTGATTAAACTAAAAACTGTTTAATGCTGGAAGGAACATTTATTTTGGTATTCAGGTGACCAGTACAATGGCAAATATTAGTTTCTCAGTAGTTTTTAATTGAACTGAAATTCAGAATTATGTATTTGTTTATTAATTCAAACAATTATTTCTAACAATGCCTTTTGGAGAATTTAGTATTTTACATGGATTTACTGTCTATAATGTAAATCAGTTTATTTCCTTTTGGAATAGTGCTCTTACTTGCCTCATCCTCTCCTCAGTTGGGTTATAAGCAAGGGATAAAGAACTGAGCTGGCTATGTGCTACAGTAGCAATACAGTTAGCACAATGTTTGCATGTAAAGTAGCTGTGATTTTTTATGGGGGGGTAGTTTTATTTTTTCAGTTTTAATATTTATAGTGATCAGTAGTCATTTCTTGCATTTGAGAAATTCATATGCATTGGTTGGGCTTCCAGGTGGCTCAGTAGTAAAGAACCCACCTGCCAAGCAGGAGACACAGGTTCTATCCCTGGGTTGAGAATACCACCTGGAGATGGAAATGACAACCCACTCCAGTATTCTTGCCTGGGAAATCCCATGGACAGAGGGGTCTGGTGGGCTACAATCCATGGGGTTGCAAAGAGTTGAACACTACTTAGCAGCTAAACCATTAGTACCACATGCTTTGGCTATGGTGGTTCTTATAGTAAAACCTATGTAAGGAAGATCTTAAATTCCTAAAGGTTATGGCAGTTTCACCACCAGTACTTAACATGTTTTATTCCCTTGCAAACTAAGACCATGCAGGTGAAATGTTACAAAATGACTCAGTAACAGTGAGGGGGCTTATCGAAACGGAAAGTTTTATAAAAATCTATCTTGATCATTGAGTAGACCTCTATGTCACCAGTCTTTCAAACTCTGTTCCTATACTCTTGACTGGTCAGTCACCATTAGCCATTTCCTATGAATAAGCATAAGCTCATAATAGGTTAATTTCTTGAACAACCAGAGGTCCTGCACTTGAGCCTACTTAGCATTGATTTTTACACATTTTTTATTGCCACTCCTGAATGGAACTTAATTGCTGTGATAGTATATTTCTGCTTGAGGCCTATATACTGTGCAGACTTATCCATAAATAGGGGATTCCGAGGTGGTGCTAATGGTAAAGAACCCACTTGCCAATTGGAGATACATAAGAGAAGTGGGTTTGATCCGTGGGTTGGGAAGATCCCCTGGAGGAGGGCATGGCAATCCACTCCAGTATTCTTGCCTGGAGAATCTTGTGGACAGAGGAGCCTGGTGGGCTTCATTGGTTCATTGGGTTGCAAGGAGTCTGACACAACTGCAGTGACTTAGCAGAGAGCAGCATCCATTAACTAGACCTGAATTTTATTTATCCTTTCTTATTGTAAGGTAGACTTTTTAACCGAACAATGCAGAAGGCTGCAAATAAGAAAAGAGTTTATTTTGCTTTTAGGAATTGCAATTTCAGAGACACAGATTTGGATGAAACTGTTGAAGGTGGGCTAAGAGTCAAGGGCATATAAAGACAAAAGCTGCCAAGGTTGTTAAAGTTGTCTGGAAATAATTATGATTGATTCTGATGAAAGAAAGGAAATATCCTTAAGGGCTATTTCAGGATTCAATTCTATTTTATTTTAGGGCTCAATGAGTGGATAGTCCGTCACAAGTTATTTGGGGTAAGGATGAGATGACTATCATTGGTCAGATATTTTGGGTGCCTATATTAAGACAATATGTGGTCAAAGGTCAGATTCCATCCAGGCTGAAATATGCATGCATCACACTTCCTCAGCAGACTCCTGGCTCCATTTTAGAAAGCTCTCTTGGAAATACCATTTTGATTTTCCTTTCACAACCTGAATTTTATTTACCTTTCATCAACTAATCTTTCCCCATGAGGTCATACATTTTGATTGAAGTTGGGGGGGGGTGCAGCATAGGAATAGGTGCTTAGTGAGTCTGGGCTACCTTCCAGGCATCTTGTGCTTTTTCCATCTGCTTGAGCTTGATTTCCAGTAGTTCACTTCCCCTTGATGTTATATTGCTTCAACACAAGCCTGATCTTACAGCCTGGCAGATCATATAGCACTTAGCTCCTCATGGGCATCTCAGGTCTCAGAATCACTTGCTGGCTTATGGTCAAATGTGCAGTTTCTGTCAGAGAACAGTTGTAAACCAATCAGCTGACCAACATACTGAGTGACAGATCCACCAACTGACCAGTCAACCAACTAACCAAAAATAGTGTTAAGAAAAGAAAAAAATGACTTTACTCCAAAACTCTTGATGTCTTTACTTGATTCTTCTAATGGGGCTTTCAGGAATCTCTGCAGAACATGTTTATTTGCCACCAGTACATCGGTTACCATTGAATAGATGAACTAGGTCATCTGGACTGAATGTTGGAGCAGCTTGGTGATATTTTATAAATGAGTTAGAGCAGCATGCTATGTTGTAATATGTGTGTAATATGTTTTCTCTAACATGCAAAGGGGTCCAAAAATTTCTGTGCTTCTTCCTGTGCCCTAGGTTATCTGTGCAGAGATTTGCCTTTTAAATTAGAAGAATATCCCAGTTAGATTTAGACTACTAGACATTTAGAAACCCTGCTGAATTGTCAAGCACTCAAAATGTCAATATTTTCCCCATCAGAGTCATTCACTTGTCTAAGTTATCTAGAATAATGTGATCAATATTTGATTATCAGCTTGGTGTCCTGTAGGATGTCTAGATGACTGTGGCTCTTGTCTGTCATGGAGTGGGAGAATTGTCTTGAGGTCTAAGAGTGACTGTTCTTGCCAGCTGAAAGTGAAATGTTTCTAATTGTCCTTACTAATTGGTAAGGAGAGAAGAGCATTTGTCAAATCATTAGCTGGATAGCAGGTGGCAGGACATGTTTTGATTTGCTCTAGCAAACAACACATGGGAAGGAGTATGTAATGGGAGTCACTCTGACTCTGGTTATGATAATCCAACCTTTCTCCATGGCCACCCCATGTGCACAGACCGGCCGAGCAAGTGAAGTCAGTGGTGAGGTGTGAGGATCACCATTATTACACTGCAATTTCCTAAGCATTGTGATAGTGTGATATAAGGTAAGAAATATATATTTGTTCTTTGACACCATTGGTGACATAGAACTACTAAAATGCTTGGATCTTCCTAAGTGATGAAAGCAGAATGATGTTTTTTGTTATCTTAATGAGGTGACTTTTGGACCCCACCTAAGTGTGGGGGCTGGTTATCTGGAAAGTCAGCATGTGATTAGAAGGTTGGAACTTTTAAAACACAAAGCTCTCTCTCTCTCTTTTTTATTTTTAGTTTCTTGGCTGAGTAGCATGTGGGATTTTAGTCCCTGACCAGGAGTAGAACCCACACCCTCTGCAGTGGAAGTACAGAATCTTAGCCACTGGACCAGCAGGGAAACTGCTGAAGGTTCAAACTTTTAGTCTCACTTTCCAACTTCTGGTGAGGGGGAAGGGGTCACAGGGTTGACTCAATTGCCAGTGTCCAATGAGTTAATCAATCACAGCTGTGTAATGAAGCCTCTATAAAACCCCAAAGAAGGTGCTTTGGAGAGCATCCTGGCCGGTGAATACCTAGAACTGCTGGGTGAATGGCCTGCCAGGAGAGAATGAAAAGAAGCTGTATGTTCCATCCTCCAGTACCTTGCCCTGGGTAGCTCTTCCATCTGGCTGTTCCAGAGCCACATCCTTTTATAATAAACTGCTGACCTAGTAAGTAAAACATTTCTTGGAGTTCTGTGAGCTGCTCTAGAAAATTAATCAAACCTAAGAGGGGAAGAGGTCATGGAACATGTGATTTATAGCCAGTTGGTCAGAAGTACAGGTGATAACCTGGACTTGAGACTGCCATCTGAAGTGTGTGTGTATGTGTGTGTGATAGTAGGGGGCACCGTCTTGTAGGGCAGAACTGTTAACTTGTGGAATCCAATGCCATTTCTGAGTATATAGTGTCAGAATTGAGGTGGATTTTCAGACACCCTGCTGCTGTGGAAAAATCACTTTTGCTGGTGTGGAGTCCCCTACTTCCTCTCTACCAATTGGTATCCTCTCTTATACCATTTCTCTACTGGAATTGGTATCAGAACCAGTTCAGATATGATAGAACT